CAATGGCCACAGCTATTGCAACAATCAATAGTACACTCAAACAATAACCACTACTAAAGCTTCACTCATTAGGACAAAAAACCAATGGCCACAGCTATTGCAACAATCAATAGTACACTCAAACAATAACCACTACTAAAGCTTCACTCATTAGGACACAAACCAATGGCCACAACTATTGCAACAATCAATAGTACACTCAAACAATAACCACTACTAAAGCTTCATTCATTAGGACACAAAGGCATGGCCACAGCTATCGCGACACTCAATAGTACACTAAAACATGGCCACTACTAAAACTTCACTTATTAGAGCACAAACATTACATCTATTGCTGTGACTGGACCCTACGATGCACATAACGTACACAATAAAAATATATACCTAAATAGACATGCGCGTAATACATCTATATTGATCACTGAGCTATGTGTGTGCACTATAGTTATAGCTTTGACTGGACCCCACGGTGCACGAAACGTTCATAAAATGATTAGTGCTGTTTATGCTAGTAACTTAAACTCACGTATCGTGCACCGTGGGGTCATTTTTAACTAAATCATGTTTTAATCATAGTTACAATTAACTAATCTTGATACTATTTTACAAATATTTAAAGATGATTATTTGTGAGGCATACCTAGAATTTTTTGTAGCTGGTGCTTGTCTTTGTATTTTTAAATGATTTTTGAACAGGTCGGGGGGTCAGATTGACCCCACGGTGCGCAGTAAGGGTTAAACATAAGGACAAATAATTTAAATTACAATTAATTAGGCAAAAATATAATTAAAGATTGATATTATTATCCATCATGGTGCTGAATTATTATTAACAATAATTGCCACCCAAACCAGATGCTCTCTCTCCTGCGCATTTTAGAACTGGTTTGCATTTAATGTTCTTGTTGCATTCTTTTTCTTTTGCGTTCATTTTTTTTTTCAGGGCAACCATATTTCTCGTCAGTCTTGATAAAGTTATCCGCATTGATCTCGTCCCTGCATTTACTTTTCCAATCCGTATTATCTTTTTTGCATTTTCTTAATTTACCTTCTTGCTCTTTTATACTTCTTCTGCAATTTGTAAGCCATGAATTGCAATCGCGTGTTTTCACCCTGCACTCATTTGTGTCCAGGCACCATTCTTCTTGCCCACATCCATCCATTTTACACTCTTTCGGGCACGATTTGCCTTTCTTCGAGTTTGACTTACCCACATTACCCACATATTTCTCACCCAACAATTCATCGATCGTGATCGACTGCACCAGTAATGTGACCAATAACAATAATGTGGTCTTGGTCATTATTGGCTTAACAAATTACATGTTTATTTTAATACATATTTACTGTTTGTATATGTAAAAGTAAACTAATATATTATCTAGAATTTATATTAAATATTGAAATATTGAAATTTTCATTATTTTATGAAATTAATTCCTTTGAATTTAAAGTTAAAAATAACTTACTTTTTAAAATTATTAAAAGTAAACGTAATAATTTTATCCAAATTGTATTATTTTATGAAAGACTAAAGTATAATTTTTAACCACATTTGAGATATCACCTCAACGTATAGAAACTGTTGTGTGATCTGTATGTAAAAGTTATGTGAGTTTTAATGAAATTTATTCCAGTTAATTTTAATTAATAAAATGCGTATTTGCCCCATATTGCTGTTCATATAAAGTATCAGTCATTTATATACATGTATGTCGTAACTTCATGTCCGTTGGCCACTAACTTAAAAATTAATTGTAATATAATATTATTCTATTTTTAAAATTAAGTGAAATAAGTTTTAATTAATAATTACTTACGTAGATAATATGACATATTACACATTGTGTAATTGTTGTGTAATTTTGAATTGATTTTAAATATGGGCTCACGTTACGATTCCTAAACTCCATATGTTAATCATATCACTAATACTAGTGGCCGACACGTCTCGAACCCGACGAGACCCGACCCGAACACTAACTTCAAATTTAAATTCCAACCCATAAACCAAACTAAATGTAACCGTTTAGTAGATTTCACTAACAATTGTTATAACTTATAATACAAAGCATAATTGTAATTATAATTTTAAAACTTTAAGACTATAAGGACATGATGAACTGAACAAAACTAACATAAATGTATACTAACTTTTTAAAATTGTTATTTCAAGTTTTATTGTCTATAAATTAAGAGCTAACGGAACAATAAAATTTAAATTTATTTAATACAAATTAAATTGTTGAAAATAAGTAACTATAATATATAAATTAATTCAATTTATAATTAATAGAATATTATGTCATGCACATAATAAGCAAATTATAAAATAAAAATTTATTATCACATTAAAATTTTAAATTTCACTTAAGCCACCTACCATAATTTTGTTATGCACATGCGTTCAATCTTAATCATTTATTTAAAATAGCAACATGAACATGTTGATTGTATTGTTATTGGTATTTGTACCGGCGTTGTCGGTCACTCATGTTGATTTGTTTCAATTTAATCATTGTAAAAATAGAATGCAACATTTCGATGCACAAAATTTTGGCAAGAAGTGTCGTGCTGGTTCACATGAAGACTCCGCCAAACACTGCTGTGGCAATAAAGACAACTGGATCGTTTGCAAACCAAAAAATAATAGTGACCGAGTAAAGAACATTTTTTACTGCAAATACAGTTTTATAATTCCTAATGGATAATAATAATGATAAATCGCCTAAAGTATATAATAATGTTTTTGAAATGTAATAATGTTTTTTACTTGTATTTTCATGATTGTTATTTAATAAAATAAATGAGGTTTTAATAACTTATTATTTTTGTTTTATTTATATTAAAATGATTATATGTTTTTGTGGTAAAAGAAGTAACGTTTTATATAACAAAGTATATTAATTGACTTTAAACTTAATTTTTATTAGTTTTGTTATGTTGCAATTATTTACTCCTATTATCAAATTAATAAGAATGTGTTTTGTGAACTAAATTTAGTAAATGATTAATATCAATAAATTATTCTAATAACTTGTAATAATTGTACTAGTTAACTAATTTTAACTATTTATGATAATGTAATTGTGATGTTTTTGAGCAAATAGACTCCGACCGGGACGGGAAGGCCAGATATGCTGAGGTCCTCAGACCGAGGGGTTTGGCCGCCGATAAGGATATAAATTATAAGTTTTATTTAATAGACAAAAAAAGCGACGGATTTCTATCACTCTCGAAATTGATGGTTAAAACTGTGATTTATTTTGATAATTATTATTATAAAAACAAATATTTTTATTAAATAATGTTAATTTTGTAAAATCAAAATTAATACAAATTTTAAAGCTGGTAATATTGTGTAATTTGTGTATAATGTAATATTTATTGTACCTTGTTTAAGTAATACTCCCAGCTTAGGATTTATTACAATTATGATTGACAGCAACTCTTCGGTTAGTTTTGGCATTTCGTACATAAAATAACTGATTTGTGTTGTTTGTTTGGTTTATATTTTGCTTTATAATAATTTTCTGATTATTACAGATATAAGGTTTAATTTTGCTCAACAACTGTATGAATAGATTAGTGAACATAAGGACCGATACACCAAACCATAGACCTAGAAGTGATCCCACGAACACCACGTACTTTTCAAATGGCATTTTCAGTGATATCTCGTATACCATATCAGGTTCTGACGGTATTTGGAAAAATACTTCGACAATAGAATCTGTGCTGTGATTATGTTTATCGAATTCGTAATAGAATGAGTGGTAGTGTTGTATACACTCTATTCGGTCGCTGTATTCACGAATGCAATGTTGTTTAATAGCATTGTCTTCAATTAGTCCATGACTTGCCGTACGATTGCTTTTATCGATCTCTTTATAGTAAATGTATTCTAAAGGGAATACAGAATACTTTTGGTAATATTGTTCAACAATACAGTTGTCAACGTATTTAACAAGGCTGTGTTTCATTAAACATTTCTCGTCATTAAACTTGTAATTTAACATAACAGTAGATTTGTGATACTTAATCTCGGCGCGTGTTATTTCACCAAGCGGTATTCTAAGCATTTGTTTCCAGTAAAAGTCGCGCAACCTGTCCCATCTCGAATGAAAATTTACATAAATTGTATCACGAATTAATGCGGAATTAGCAAATACAAATGACAACAGCCTGTTTGACTTGTCCCGGGTGTTTAATTTATACTGGGTGTCCGACTCGCCCGCCCATTGCGAAAACACTGACCAACACATTATGTTTTCTTTATCCCAGTTTAAATCTATACCCATACTAATGGGTGCTAGATCAGCGCATGGTTTGTCCATTCCCAAATAGTAACATTTATAAATGTTATAATTGCCAACAATGTTGATTAGTTCATTAATTTTATAATTAGGCATTACTCTCATATTAATTGTTTCATTCGTGGGTATAATAGATCTTAGAAGTGGACTAATTTCCGTGCAAATGGTGAGTCCCGGCGGATACATCTCTGTTGGCAATTCTCTACGTATGGTTGTTGTGGTTTCGTACGAGAAGTATATGTAACTTATTTTATAAGTTTGGTATAGAAATCCACACAATAGTAATACATTTGTTATACAGTACAACTCTTTACAGATATTTTGGACCACATTTTGCTGAAATTTTATTTGATAAATAAATTATATTTGCTTTAAACACTACAATATATTAGTTAAACTTATTTAAATCTAAAATCTAGTTTTATTGCATTAAGCTGTTTATATGGCAAAGTTTAGTAAATTTCTAGTTTATATTGTCGTGAATGTGAATACAGTCACTCCTGGAATATTCCAGTCGACTATCATGATGACTTCGATGAGCTCACACACCAGTCATCACACCTATACATCACCTCATGTGCATACGATGTGCACATACTATACTCATTGCCTATCATTATCTCAATGTCATTATACAGTATATAAGGACCCCTTTCCCTATGTATTATTCGCAGTCTATTATAAGTCCTCTTCGAAGGCATTACTCTTATTAATAAATACTTGTTAAATATGTTAAGCGAGTGTACCGTTATTTAGCCCTTAATTAGGGGTTAATACCGCCGGCGACCACACCCCTAAGTTGTGACAGTAGTGGTCATACTTCGCCCGTAAGTGTGCTCAGTACCGATCTCGACAATATAATATATAGTTTATTATAATTTTAGGAAAATTATAATTAAGATATTTATACAAAAACATTTCAGTTTTGCATAAAATGTTTATGTATTATAAACAGTAAATTATGAGAATTTTTTTGTAATACAATCATTATATAACTTGTATACAATTTTTATATTAGAATACTAAAAATATTGAATTGAATAATAATAAATATTAATAAAATTATAATATAAAAAATGATAAATTTATATATAAAATTATAATAAATAATAATAAAATTATAATTTGTATTAAAAATTAAATATTCATGCTAATATAAATGTTATACAATATTATACTGTATATGATTAAAGAATATAATAAAATCAAATACAAATAACAGTTTGAATCATTATTGTTTGCAATTCAAATATTTATAATAAATAAAATACAATAACATTTAATGCAAATTTTTTGCAAATGATTGGTCAATATTTTTACTGCAATACTCTTTGAGTCTATTTAAGGCAAAGGTTTCATAATCCGAGTGTTCGGACACTGTATTCAATGTCTCGCATATATTCACAAATACCCATAACTTATGGAAAGCGTATAAATTCTGTTAAATAAATATTATGTTATAATTAACCTTAATTTTTAAATTTATTAATTATTATTTTATAAATACCTGATTAAAATTGAAGCAATGTTTGCTATAAACATCGACAAACTTTCGATAACACAGTCTATTATTGAGCTTTTGTTTAGTGTTTAGAAAAGCATTGCTATCGACTGTCAGTAAGAGTTGAATACTATTCACGTATTCAGTCATATGTTTGTCCACATATTGCCGGCCATACAGTAATGTTTGTAATTCATTCTCATATCTATTAATCATATTATTAAAATACTTGACAAAACACGTCACACTCCCGCGAAAACAATAAGCCAATAAAAAAACAACATTCACTATAACACACACATACAGTACAAACATTCAATGTATTTCATTGTGTGACGCAATGTTTGTATAATGTTTGAAATGCCATGTCTTTAGGGTGAACGTCATTAAAGTAATTTATATTAATTACCTTCAATTACCGTAATTTTAGGGTAAATTTATGTAATTTATATTTATAGTAATTTATTTAATTCATAAGTTGGAGTATTATTAAGTGTTTACCCCCACATTTTTAAAAATTTTGAGACATTTTTTGTTATCGCCATCTATTGAATGAGCTTTTTGTCAGTAAATTTACCAGGGAATTATTACCGGTAAATTTACCTGGAAGTAATTTATACCAAATAGGTAAATCTGATGATTATTTTCACTGCTTTGGTTTAAATGTCAATTCAATGATAAACAAGAAATTGAATCAATTGAAACATTTATCAATAAAACCATATAAATGTGATTTTAATAATTGTAATAAAAGTTATAAATGGAAAACACAATTAATTAATCACAAAAATATAATTCATTTAAAAAAGACATTTGTTTGTGATTTCAGAAAATGCCACAAAAGTTTTACAACAAAACATTATTTACTTTAACACAAAAATGTGTTAATTTAAATAAAAAGTTATTTAATTGTAATGAAGAAAATTATGGCAAAAAATTCACAACAAAACAGAGACTAAATTCACATAAAAGTAGTTTTCATTTGAATGAAACAAAACTCAAAACTAATGACGAAACTTGCGATAAAAATATAAAACCAATTCAAAATCCTATTCATAACAAAAACATACATTTGTGAGAAAAATCATTTATTTGTCATTTCAATAATTGTAATGAAAGTTTTTGCACAAAATCTCATTTAAATCATCATAATATGTAAACACATATGAAAATCAATGAACATAATTGTGTCAATAAATTTCCCGAGAGAGAGAGAGAGAGAGAGAGAGAGAGAGTGCACGTTTTAAATATAATTTTATTTCATAAAATGCACAAAACCTAATTACTAAT